TGTAAATAAGATACTCCTGTTTTAAATCAGACAGCAAAAATCGCAACATAAAACAGGAAGGACTTTATGAAAATGAAGTCTATAGCAGCTCAGTTTTAGCAACTTAAATATTTAGTTCTGTACTTGAGTTCTTAGAAGAAAACATGTTAATGTGAAATTGGTCACATCTTTACTTTTGTGTAATTCTATGTTTATTTGATAGTTGTCCAGGCTGGCCTATTTGACTTCTATTTCTGAATTGTTAAGAATTACTTTTAATGTATATTTGATTATTTCTCAGCATTCCATATAATGCAGTTTTTCTTTTTTTAAAAAAAATCCTTGAAGATATTAAAGCAGCTTGTTAATTGGATCTGTTTTCTTTTCTCTCCTGCCCCTTCAGTTTGTATAAAATGTAAAATATAGACTATGTTAATGCACACTAAGCCATTGTTTATAAAATTCATTAGCTGGATATGTATCAGATGGTAAGCCACAAACAGACATATCACATTTTGTCTTGCCACATTATATGGAGCCAAGCATAATGTTACTTTGGCTAGCTTCCTGCTAGATTCTTAAATAATGCAAGAAAGCAATTGTAGGAAAAAAATGCCCCCACACTAAGAAGCACAATGAGCTAATTGGCAGTCTTTTCCTTTTAATGCCTGCAGGTGTCTCAGGGCAATGCTTACTTTTTTGGACAAAGTACATTTCTTAGTAGTGTTTGGCTGGGGATCTGATATACATATGCATGTCTCCATTTGTAAAATGTGATTAGATTTCCTTTTTAAACTCCTTTTGAAGCAATGCAGCTGAATAGACCCAGATGTCACAATGGTTACTCTAAGTAGCACTGCGTACTTACATGAAATAAATAACTTTTTAGATATATATTTAATTGGTAATGCTTTACAATAAGGATGGGCAATATGTGATAAAGCTGAGGCGACCACATTTTGCTTTGATGCCTGGCTCCTGTCTTAGTTTGAAATAGTGGTTCCAAAAGGTCTCTCAGAATTCATGAGTGCCAGTGGATGTTATCTTAAAGATCTCTTAAATGTGGAGCTAGTTATCAAAAACACTTTGGAATGTCCAAGCGTAGCAACTTTAAGACTTGTGGACTTCAACTCTCAGAATTCCTCAGCCAGCC